ATTGTGAGAGCAGCTATAATTGTACAGAAATCCTGGAATGGAGGGAGCCAGAGAAGGAGGAGACCAAAAACTTACACTTATGGTCCCCAAAATTCTTGCCTAAAATTATAAACTGCAGAGAGAAAAACAAAAAGAAACCCAGCAGAAAGCCACAGTTGAAAGGCTAAATGGTCTGCAAGATTTCAGCAACTTCCTGATGTATAGGATACAGAGTTTGGAGTTTAAATCCTATTAATTATAGGTTTTGTCCAAAATCTTGAACTCTGTCTAGAGTTCAAAACTTAGACATGAGAACCACAAATTAGACTTAGAACTATGCAAAGGATCAAAATAGAACAAAAATAAAAATGAAACACATCTTCCATAGATTTTAAGCAATCCTTCAGTAATTTCACTGTCTGCTAAAATAAAACACAATATTCTTCAAAATTCAGTCTCTAAAATATATTAAGCACAATGTCCAGTACACAAAACATTAGTAGATACATAAAACAATACAGAGTGTGATCCCTAGGCAGAGAAAGAAAGAAAAATATTAATAAGCCAACAGAAGACTAAGATGTTGGAATTAGTATACTTTAAAATAAAAACTATAGATATATTAAAGAATGTATAGTATTATACAAATAGATATAAATTATATTATATATTATATATATCACATGTATATTTATATCCACATATGTGTATATATAAAATAATCCTATAAATTCTTTAATATATCTACATACACCTATGCATCAGCTTCACAGGTGGCTCAGTGGTAAAGAATCCGCCTGCCAATGTAGGAGATGCAGGTTCCATCTCTGGGTGGGGAAGATCCCCTGGAGAAGGAAAGGGCAACCTGCTCCAGTATCCTTGCCTGGGAAATCCCATGGACAGAGGAGCCTGGTGGGCTACAGTCCAAGGGGCTGCAAAGAGTCTGATATGACTTAGTGACTAAGCATGCACACATCTACCTATACACATCTGTTTGTATATATACACACACACATAATAAAACAAGGGGAACAGGAAAGATATAGTAACTTCTAAGAAAATCAAATACAAAACTTAAAATGAAAAATATAATGTATTTAATAAGATAATTCACAGAATTTTTTTCTGGAAAATTGAACACTGTAGAACAAAATATCAGTCAACTTGAAGACAAATAAAAATAATTAAAACTGAGGAAGAGAGGAAAAAAATTATAAAACAACATAGACTCAGTAACCTGTGAAAAAATGTCAAAGATCTCTACATATGTAATTCTCATCCAAAAAGGAGAGCAGGGAGGCAACTGGATAGAGAACTGAAAGAAAGATTCACCCCAATGCCCCCAAAATAGTTGAAATCTTGAAAAACTTTCATTATAAAGTCATGTCCCTTTTATCTTATACCTTTCAACAGTATCATTTCAGCTGGAGCTCTATGATTTGTTTGCATTCACTTTTCCATGAAGACTTGTGGTCATGAAGGTGAATAAAAGTATAGTAGATACAGTGTTTTCTTTTTTAAAGAGTGAAAGAGGTTTAACATTTGAGACATCAAAGAGAAGAATCTGGTTATTATGAGAGAAAAATAAGAATGAAGTATCAAATTAAAGAAAACTCTGATTGGATCTTTATGGTTCAAATTGTGTAATATCTCAAGAAATAAGTATGTAAAGGAAGATTTTTGCCTTAAGACACTATACAACTTTAAATAAGAGTAAAGAATATAACAATAAAATGTAAATATCAAAATACATTTTCCAAAACAATCTCTTTATGTTTCAAGAAAGTTATGAATAGTTTCTCATCAATGGATCAAAAATAAAATGATGTGAATATGTGAGCTATTTTGCCAACCTCATTTCTCTATTGATGCATTTTAATTATTTGAACTCATGGCGTCAATCTTGCTGACACATTTTTAAAGATGCTTAATTAATCACTCTTTGAAATATGTACTGCTCTTTTCCCCATTCTTTGGTGTTATCAAAACAACAATGTCTCTGAAGGGAGTGGGCAACAGTAGGCTGAAGAAAAAGCATTGTAAGAAATGTTAATTCCTCATCATTAAAGTTTTGACTCCTCACGGCCTAATTTCATTAGACTTTTGAACAATGAGCATGGAACTATTGCTATAAATTTTCTAAAACACAATATTCTTATTTTGCAACATGCAGGGATACTGCTATAAAAGGTCATCTACTTCAAATACTTTCACCAATCATTTGTAAAAACACTTTAAAGCTTACAATCAAAGCTGTCTGGACGGCATCTCAAAAACACTTTTTCAGAATATTTAAACTAACTACAAATGCATGAAAAAATTATTTTTAGAAGAGCTTTTAGATATTTTAAAATATATTATTAAATGATAAATTACTAATATCTTCTTAATGAAATACTGCATTGAATAATCTGAATCTACAAATTTAAAATAGAAAATCATCAGAAGAAAGAACAGAATCCCAACATTACCATTTATTCACTTTAATTAACAAAAAATGTCCAGGTACATTTAATAAATTCATAGCTTCAGAATACTATTCATAAGCTTCAGAGATTGAATTACCAAAACTTTTACTATGTGGATGTAGGGAATAAATAAGGGCTTATTATACATTTTTGATGGCTAATTGTTCACACACGTGTGCATGCATGCTCAGTCACTTCAGCTGTGTCAGAGTCCATGTGGCCCTATGGACTATAGCCTGCCAGACTCCTCTGTCCATGATTCTCCAGGCAAGAATACGGGAGCAAGTCGCCATGCCCTCCTCCCCAGCATCTTCCCAACCCAAGAATCGAACCTATATCTCCTGTGTCTCCTGCATCACAGGCAGATTCTTTATCCGCTGAGCCACCTGGGAAGCCCATTCAAACATGTATGTTCCCTCAAATAAATTAATGATATGATCTTTGACAATTTAAACATACTTGTAAATAAATTCCATATAAACATTTCCTCAGAGAAAAAAACCTAAAGGAGGTTCTTTTCATCAGTAAAACCTTAAAATAATTAATACACTTACTTACTAATACCCTAACTTGAACCTGTCATTGATGAGCTACACTTAGCCAGTGGTAATATCTTTAACTTTCTGACTACCCTTGAGTGCTATCTCCTAATCTTCCTTAATCATATCATTTACCTATCTTTATGCCTAAACATTGTGAATAAATTATAATAAAATTTTAATGTAAAACACCAAATTCAGTCATACATTCAAATACTGAAAATTAACTTTATTAGAAGTTAATTGATAGTGGCAAGACTCATACAGTACAACATGGAGTTATTATTTCACCCAGAGGTTTATTTAATATTATTAATGTTTACTTAACAGAGGAGCCATTATAAGGATGGAAAATATTAATATCTGCAAAATTGATTAAATTAATTTCAAGAATATCCATGATTTATACAGATAACTAGAAAGTCCTCTATTCTCATCACACCTTACATACACTATTCTTAGCTAGGGAGGGAAAAAATGAAAATTATTTGTAGATTTAAGAGTTTCAGATACTACGAGTCATCAAACCTACTCTTTATTGCAATAACAACTAAAGTAAATAGAGAAGAGGCCAGTGCTGCAAGAAAGGGCAATAGTAGCTAGCATTAATAGCCTATAAACCTAATCTACAGGAATTAGTAGAAAATGAATTATACTAGGAACCTTCATAAATTAACTCACCGTCCTACATTGTGATTTAGAGACAATGTAATGAGTAGTTTACAGGGTCAGAAAGAGCAGACAGTCTAAATTTAGTCAACATAAACTTCATGATAATGTAGTTACAACAAACAATGTTGTGATGGCAACTGCAGATAAAGGTGTGTGGGTGTTCACTCTGGGGGGAACAGAAAAAAGTAAGTGCTATAAAATTAGTGTTAAATTAATCCCCTCCAAGGGTAAGAGGTTGTTTCTAATGGAAATAAAATTCCAATAATTAGATTATTTTAAAAAGAAATTAATACAAATCTCTGTGCTTTCCTATGACTAATTATTCCACAAAGTCAAGGCTTTGCTCTAATTCTCTATTCAACAAACAACCTTCTGATATGTAATTTAGCCCTCTATCCATCAGAAAGGCTGTGATCCATTTATATAAGAGTTACTTGATATATGGTCAAGTATCTTTACCATGATTGATGTCATGATGACACAGAATTTATGCTTATAAATTTGTACTTCTGAAATTTAGTTAATCTCAATCAGTTCTCCATTATTTGACAAAAAAGCTGCTAAACCTGAAACATGATGGCTCCATGAATACTATCCAGAACAAAAATACCTATCACAAAAATACCTATCACAAAGATTCATCAGAAAAAAACAAACTTGAGCTTCAAGATCAATAAACCAACAACACCATTTTCCATTTTCAATGTGGAAAATATTTCTGAGTCTCCTTTAAGATTCTCTGAATAACCTATTTTATAGTTTGGACTGTGCATAATTCAGCATAAAGTGCCAACAATGATAACAACAATAGTATCAGTTTATACTTCTGACATTAACTTTTAGAACTGTCCTGTGACATAATGAAGAAAGTGAAACAGACAGAGATGACATACCTCAAGTCATATAATTGTTAAATGAGAGAATTAAAACTTAAAGTTTATGAGTAATGTTCACAGACATGATTTCAACCACTATGCTATACTTTTATCCTATATATTCATAAAATATTTGGCTTAATGAAGGAAGAAATCATAATTTCAGATATCTATAGCTACATGACCAAATTCTACTACATCAACTATTTCATTCCTATATTTTAGATTCTAAGAGGTAAAGTTAAAACATTGTGAAGTTTTAACACAGTGAAGCACAGTATATCATACTGTGATAAGTGAACACAACATGCATTCAGGTAAGTGTGTAAATTTAAAAGCTTTAAGAATAGCTATAAAAATACTAACAGATACCTGTTAATACCCATAATGGTATCCTTAAATTCTGTGCCACATATATCATTCAAGATATTTCAATAAATTTATGAAAAATTTTACTGAAAACTTACTTTGCAACCTCCGTGTTGGGCTCTCTCCATGGAGTTGTCGTCGTGGCATATACGGCGAAGGATGGGGAAGTGGCAATGAGGAAACATCATGAGTCTGAAGTTTGTACCAATGTGGCTCATCATCTAATAATGCTGTTTCTAATTCAATTAAAATCTACAAAGCCAAGAGACAAAGAATTGTCATATGATAATAATATAGAAATTCTCTTAAATGGTTTTATTATAATAGTAATGTTGTTAGGTCAAAAGCAAGGTTATGCAGCAGAATTGCCCATATGCTTGCCACTAGTTAAATAGATAAATATTTATAACTTCTTATTGATTTAATAGCTTTATATACCTAAGACATTTACTTTGTAGATCTTTGAACTACTGGAGGCTGTAGCAGATCCTCTACTAGAGGCTACTAAATATGACACTGATGAGGTGTTTGGATGGCATCACCGACTCAATAGACATGAGTTTGGGTAAACTCCGGGAGTTGGTGATAGACAGGGAGGCCTGACATGCTGCAGTCCATGGGGTCGCAAAGAGTAGGACACGATTGAACCAATGAACTGAACTGAAAGAGAACCTGTTACTAAATGTCGGTAATTAAAACTAATATATGTATACTGTTTTATGGTTTAAAAAGTACTTCACTTACATTCATTAGCTTAACCTTTACAAATTCTGAAATGGGGATATAAAAACAAATTAGAAATGCTTACTGTGTGTTAAGAACCATGTCATACGTTATCTTAAATCTTGGGTAAAAACTACTAGGTTGGTCTTATTAGTCAACTTTTTACAGATAAGCATACCAAGTTTGAAAAAGATTAAAAAACTTGTTTAAGGCTCCATTGCTGGTAAGTGAAAGAGATGCAATATAAATCAAAGACTGTCTTACTAAAAACTCGGTTTAATGTATCATGATACTAAGGATTCAAAACAGGAAAGAAAAGACCCAGCAATCCCACTTCTGGGCATACACACTGAGGAAACCAGATCTGAAAGAGACACGTGCACCCCAATGTTCATCGCAGCACTGTTTATAATAGCCAGGACATGGAAGCAACCCAGATGCCCATCAGCAGACAAATGGATGAGGAAGCTGTGGTACATATACACCATGGAATATTACTCAGCCATTAAAAAGAATTCATTTGAATCAGTTCTAATGAGATGGATGAAACTGGAGCCCATTATACAGAGCGAAGTAAGCCAGAAAGATAAAGACCATTACAGTATACTAACACATATATATGGGATTTAGAAAGATGGTAATGATAACCCTATATGCAAAACAGAAAAAGAGACTCAGATGTATAGAACAGACTTGTGGACTCTGGGAGAAGGCGAGGGTGGGATGTTTCAAAAGAACAGCATTGAAACATGTATATTATCTAGGGTGAAACAAATCACCAGCCCAGGTTGGGTGCATGAGACAAGTGCTCGGGCCTGGTGCACTGGGAAGACCCAGAGGGATTGGGTGGAGAGGGAGGTGGGAGGGGGGACCGGGATGGGGAATACATGTAAATCCATGGCTAATTCATTTCAATGTATGACAAAAACTACTGTAATGATGTAAAGTAATTAGCCTCCAACTAATAAAAATAAATGTTAGAATCCCTTAAAAAAAAAAGAATGCATTTTTAAGTGGCTCAGCAGTAAAGAATCTCTCTGCAATGCAGGAGATGCATGAGACATGGGTTCAATCCCTTGGTTGGGAAGATTCCCTTGGAATAGGAAATGGCACCCACTCCAGAATTCTTGCCTGGAAAATTCCATGGACAGAGGAGCCTGGCAGGCTACAGTCCATGGAGTTGCAAAGAGTTAGACACGACTGAGCACACAAACACATCACATCATCACATATTATAACATGAATATATAATAAATTTGAAAAGGAAATCAGTCCATAGGAATAAATGATTCTTTTTGTTATCTTTCAAAGTCATGCAAATATGACAAGGTCTGTGTTTAAGGATATGAGAACTGTTATATAGTGATAAATCACTATATAGCTATGGGAAGTAAAAAAGTAAAACAACTAAGGTACTCTTCATTCTTCCTAAATTGTCCCTAGTCATTTACAAAATTATAGGGTGTTTTAAATGGTTACACACACATACACACACACATTTAATCCTCACTCTAGCCCTTCTCACTCTACTGAAGAGAAAACTAAAGCGCAAATATATTAAGTAACTTGCTCAAGTACCAAAGTCAGGAAGTAGCAGTGTCAGGAAAGCATTATCAGGCAGCAGAAGCTAGTCTCTGATTTTAGCAATTACGTTCCCCTTCTTTCCAACTCTTTGATTCCTTAGCTAACAACATTCAGTTCAATATTTCTATGGATTGTTGTTTTACCCATGATATTACCACTTAGTTCACTCAGGAAAATCAACCACGCTGAAAAAAGCTGAAAACAGTTATCTTAGTACGTTAATGGTGGGAGAACTGTCTCTCATCTGTTCCCTCCAATTCATCCTCTACCTTTCAGATAGAAATATTTCCTCAAGTATAAATGAAATCAAGTCATGCTCTTTCCAACCTGTCATTTGTTCCTATTATCTACAGGATAAAATCCAGCCTCTTAATATGACGTATGAAAGGATACAATCAGACGTCCGTTTAACTTTCAAGTCTCATTTCTTACCAGGTTCCTTTCAAATTTCAATGCAGTTGTCCAAGACCCCCGTAACTCTACTATCTCGTATTCCCTCTGCAGGAACTTTACTCCCTTCCCTGGACCACTTATTTCCCCTTCCTTGCAAAGCAATTTTGTATTCCTACTGCACTTTCCCATAGAACATCTGTCATGCTATGTTATAATTGTTCATTCACTTATATGTATTTCAGTGAATTATAAATTCTTTAAAGAGAGGAATATACCTGTCTACCTTTGAAACCTCAGTCCATAGCACATTACAGATAACAGTACAGGGCTGAAAAAATGATCCATGGATAAGCGATTGAATTACTAGTGGTACAACTGGTTTAGTAAACTAAAAGGATATACACATACTATAAAACCATCAATAAGTTATTTTCTTAAAACAGCAGCTAAATTCATTCTGTTAAATTATGTTTACTTTCTCAGGTATTCAAAATATATCACTGATAGTCATATAACCAAAAGTATTTGGGATAACATGAATAGTCTAAGCTTTAAAATAGTTCCAGATACCTCTCCTAAGAATTCACTTTCTTCCTCTCGAACTCGAGCTTGATCCCAAAGGGTAATCTCCAGCATTCGTTCCCGAAATTCTCTTCGGTGGACTGGAGAATAGATAAATGTTTGGTTCCATTTGGGTTCCAAAGTTTTCTTCACTGTTTTAGTTCTTCTCTTGTTTTTGTCACTATCAAGAAAACAAGAATATATGAATTTATATAAAACTTCATTTTAACTTTTGTGTTAAAATGCATAAATTTAAAATTTCACAGGAAACAAGTGAAGTTTTCCCATAAATTTGTCATATATTAAAAATGTTGTAAGCTTCAAAATTACTATTGAAATGTATAAGGCACATCATGATGTAACTTTGATTTAATAACAGAATATTACAATAAATATGAAAATTTTCCATGATAGATAATTAAGAACAGTCTTTCACAAATTCTAAATAAAACCAGACTAAAGACTCTTTAACTCTCATTTTCTTTTTTACACAGTGCCCTACTGGAAACCTTTAAAATGGAAATTAACTTATTGGCTATATACACTATTACTTTGAGTATTTGTACATATGCAAATTCTATGCATGGTATCTGCAACCAATATACTATTCACTTAAACTACAGAAATTCTTTGTACAATATGTCTGATTGTTATGCCCAAATCTTTACTTCCATGCAGTTAAGTTAATGAGCAAGTTATTTTCTTATATATACACACTTGCTCATTTGACATTTATCAGTTCAGCTCAGTCGCTCAGTCGTGTCTGACTCTTTGCGACCCCCATGAATCGCAGCACGCCAGGCCTCCCTGTCCATCACAACTCCCGGAGTTTACTCAAACTCATGTATATTGAGTTGGTGATGACATCCAGCCATCTCATCCTCTGTCGTCCCCTTCTCCTCCTGCCCCCAATCCCTCCCAGCATCAGGGTCTTTTCCAATGAGTCAACTCTTGCCATGAGGTGGCCAAAGTACTGGAGTTTCAGCTTCAGCATCAGTCCTTCCAATGAACACCCAGGACTGATCTCTTTTAGGATGGACTGGTTGGATCTCCTTGCAGTCCAAGGGACTCTCAAGAGTCTTC